AAAAAAAAAAAAAAAAAAAACGAATCCTATATTTTCAATGGATTAACTTGACAAAAGTTGGGTTAATTTGACCTTTCTCTCTTATTTTTTTTTTTTCTTTTTTTCCTTTTTTTTTCTGCTGAAAATACTGCAGATAATTATTATTATTTTTTTATTTTTTTATTTTTTGGGTTTTCTCGCAGGAAATGATTGATGAAAGTTGACTATAAGGAGCAATCGAACTTCACTCATATCCAAGTGCAGATTGTGTTAGAAACCCAAGAAACAAGATAAACATTTTTTTTTTCCTCTAGCATCCACGTGTGAATTTTGTTCAAGATAACGATCTTTCTTGGTCCAGTCGATGATTTATGATCTGGGTTTTTCTTAATTTGCTCGAATTTTGTCCAAGATGATAGCTTTTTTGTGCTGCTGGTGAAAATTTTTTCTGGGTCTCTAGTTTTTTGGAAAAAAAAAAAGGGGCAAAAATCAGTGATATAAGGCAAAAGGGCTCATGGAGGCTTCTGTTAAGAAGATAAAGAAGCAATTAACCGGTAAAAGAGACGACACGGCTTTACACTCAGCTGCAAGAGCTGGGAATTTGGAAGTAGTTTTGGAGATTATTGGAGAAAATAAAGGGGAAGAGGATTTAAGTGAATTATTGTCTAAACAAAATTCTTCAGGCGAAACTGCACTTTATGTGGCAGCCGAATGTGGTCATGTTGATGTTGTTAAGGCCCTCGTGAAAAATTACGATGTCAGCTCAGCTGCAATCAAGGCGAAGAATGGTTTCGATGCATTTCATATTGCTGCTAAGCTCGGGGAATTGGGTAACTATTTCAGTCCTTTTTTTTTTTTACTTTATTCATGTTTTCTGGTGTTTTTTAGAGTCATTTGAATCTTCTCCTGAATATTTATTAAGCAGTGGTTTGCAAAAAAAAGTTATTTCCTTTTGCCTTCTTCTAGTTGAAGTGAGTTATAATTTTTCAAGCGAATGTTAGTCGATTGTGAAGTCACGAATTAGTGTTTGTTTGGAGACAGTCCAATAAAAAGATTAATCATCACCTTATTGCATGATTTCATTCGTTTTCTTTACTTTATTCATGTTTTCTGGTGTTTTTTAGAGTCATTTGAATCTCCTGAATATTTATTAAGCAGTGGTTTGCCACAAAGTTTGTTCCTTTTGCCTTTTTCTAGTTGAAGTAACTTATAATTTTTAAAAGAGAATATTAGTCGATTGTGAAGTCACGAATTAGTGTTTGTTTGAGGACAGTCCGGTAAAAATTAAAATGATCAATCATCACCTTCTTGTGTGATTGCATTTTTCCATCTAAAAGCTAAGAAAAAATCACTTCTTTTCATAATGTCTTGGAAGTTGAAACACTCTCTATGGAAGGTTGTTTTTGTTCATGTAGGAAAAGCCAAGTGAAAATCGGTAAATGTTCAAACACCGTCGATGAAATTTTGCAGAATTAGAAGTTAATATTTGGAAACACTAAAGATGAGATTTAAGCCTCCGATTATGTCATGGAAAGCCGACTAATTACTCCATTGTTCCAAAATTTGGAGAAACATGCTCGATTTTTGCATTTCATATGGTTATGCTTATAAGTTATACCTTCTTAAAAGTAAGGAATTTATTTTAATTGTGTTTTTTTTTTTTAAATATATGTAATGATTTCAGAGGTATTGAAGGTTTTAATGGAGTCCATTCCCCAACTATTAGCTACGGTCGATCAATCAAACACGACACCATTACACACAGCTTCATCTCAAGGCCATCTTGAGATCGTCAAATATCTCTTGGAAAAAAATAGCAGCATGGCCACAATATCAAGAAATAACGGCAAAACCGCTCTTCACTCGTCTGCAAGAAACGGGCATCTTGAAGTGGTCAAAGCCCTTCTTAGCAAAGAACCGGGAATTGTGACGTGGAGTGATAAAAAGGGTCAAACTGCACTTCACATGGCTGTAAAGGGAAATTGTCCTAAAGTTGTTGACGAGCTTATTTCTTTGGATAATGGTTTGCTTACAATGTCTGATGGAAAAGGGAATACTGCTTTGCATATAGCAACAAGAAAGGGTCGAGCACAGGTCTCTTATTTTTCTCTGATTCGTTTTTTTTTCCTATGAATTTTAAGCTATATATATGGATAATTTACACAGCTTTGTTATGCTTTTTTTATATTGAGTTTTTCTTATCTTGAAAACTTGCATCTTAAAAAGTCAGTGTTTTCAGAGAATCTGAGTTTTTTGCAGTAAGTCCTATTTTCTTCTTCTTTCTACAACATGTAATTTTATTTCTGTAGAAGTTAAAAGTAGTTCACAAAAGTTGACTAAATAATTACCAGCATTTTATAAACTTTAGTAAAAGTCAAAATCATATGCAGTATTTATCTACATACATACCACATTACCTATTTTTGCCAGCTTTCAAAAATTTAAATTAACTTGGAGAGAGTTGACCCAAAAGTTTTCACTACTCGAGCAAAGAAGCTAAGAATCGGGTCAAGTTTCGATTTTTGATAATATGAAGAAATTTACTAATGCCTATATATTTGTACACCTTTTTTTCCTCCCTCGTAGATCGTTCGAAATCTATTGAAACACGGAGGGATCAATAAGGAAGCCATCAACAAGTCAGGCGAGACAGCGTTAGACACGTCTGAAAAAATGGGCCGGTTGGAAGTAACGGCCATTCTCCAAGAAAACGGGGTTCGAAGTGCCAAATCGCTGGCCCCACCAACCCAACCGATAATTGCGAGGGAGTTGAAACAAACCGTGAGTGACATTAAACACGAAGTGCATGATCAGCTTTTGCACACTCGTCAAACGAGAAAAAGAGTCCGAGGGATAGCAAAAAGGCTCAACAAAATGCAGTCAGAAGGACTCAACAATGCAATAACTTCGACTACAGTCGTGGCTGTTTTGATCGCTACTGTTGCATTCGCCGCCATTTTTACCCTTCCAGGTTAGCAAAAAAAAGATTTTATTTCTGTTTTGTCATTTTTTTGGGGCTATATATAGTATTTATTATTTGTTTCTGATAAATAGTTATTAATTAGACTAAAATTGGAGTATAACAATATGTGCCCTTCTTCTCTAATTTCTTTATTATGTACTTTATTGTTTTGTTATGCTGTTATTATGACCACTTGCCCTGAGCTTTGGAGTGTTCATCGAAAAGGATCCGGATAAAATTGTGATTACAATAACTGCCCTTGAAATTGGCCTTACAGAACCATTGTCAAAGACTCAACAACCACACTCCTCAACTTTCAAAGATAATACAAGCAGTCCCAACTCGTTTTTCTCTTTTTCCCCCCTCAAATTTATTTTAATTATTTATAGTAGTTGAGAGATGTATGTAATTGTAGTATTGTACAATGGGAGCATTAGCTCCACCAAAACTTTTCTGTGCTTTTTCCATAATTAGACCATACCTCGAGGCCCGAGGGTAGTTCCATTATTACTTCAAAGTGGACGTACAACTCATCCCATTTCCTAAGGGGGGTGTATACGTTTGAGATTTCGAGAGACACTTTAATATTTTCTGAGATTTTGGAGGAATCTCATGTAATCTTAAGTCTGAAGATGAGATTTTGTAGTGGGATTTCGTATAAAGTTTTTTCATTTTGAAATCCCAGCAATTCTTAAAAAAGTCTCAACAAATCCTAGTTTCAAATATGTTAAATACCTCATGATTTTTTGTCAAACTTATTAAAATCTCAAATGAATACACCGAGACTTTTAAAAGTCTAAATAAATTAAATACACCAAGATTTCTAAAGTCTTTCTTAAAGAGTCTTTAGAAATCCCAAATGAATACACACACAATATATATATATATATAAATAAATTCCGAATCCGCCAATGCAGGCCAGTACATGGATGATGCCAAAGAAGTCACCCCCGGTTTCTCCCTCGGTGAAGCCAAAATCGCACCAAATATCGAGTTCGCCATTTTCTTGATTTTCGACTCGCTTGCCCTCTTCATATCCCTAGCCGTGGTTGTTGTCCAAACTTCGGTAGTAGTGGTCGAGAGACGGGCCAAAAAACGAGTCATGACCATCATCAACAAGTTAATGTGGCTCGCGTGCACTTTCGTGTCCGTGGCCTTTCTTGCACTTTGCTACGTGATCGTGGGAAAAAACGAGAAGTGGCTTGCAATCAGTGTTACTATAGTGGGGACTCTTATTATGGCCACGACTTTAGGAACTTTGTGTTATTGGGTGATCATGCACCGTATCGAAGCCTCGAATTTGAGGAGCTTAAGGAGGAGTAGCCGGTTAGCATCTTGGCCGGTTTCGGCTGTTGTTTCGGGTTCGGAAGTCGGCGAGGGTGAGTACAAAAAGGTGTATGCTTTGTGATGATCATGTATATATAGTGATATTTGGCCTGGTTTAGGTTGCAAATTGCAAAGTATTGAAGTATATATATTTATATTTATTAGGAAAAAAATACAGATAAATAAAATTACGAAATCGGGATCATTGGCGCTTCTGCGCGAGTGAGCTGGTGATTTGTATCCTATGTTTAAATGTATTTTTGATTCTTGATTGTTGTATCTGAACATGTCACCAAATTCATCAGCAGTTAATATATGTATAGGATTGGCAGTTTGTGTGTTCATCTGCATTTTCACAGATGATAGATCAATGAAGATTTGAATTTCTCAAACTGATCTATAATTAATTCTCTCTTTTATTTATTTATTTATTTTTTTTTTTTTTTGTCAATTTAATTTTTCTATTCAAGCCTTGAATGAACATCATTGCATTCACTGATCGCCAGCAAGTTTTGTGAACCAGCTTTTTTTTCTTTGCTACACTGACTTGTAAAGGTACTGATCCTTCGCTTTCAACTGCAAATATCTATTGAATATAAAACAAAAAACAAAAAACAAAGGAAATTAGGTCTGCTTTTGTACAAGTAGCTATAAGAGAGTAAGATCGTATCAAACCTGATATGGGATATTATAGCTGAAACCGGTCTGGTCGGTGAGAGGAATAAATCGGACCACCTGGCTTGGTCGAACAGAGTATATGTCGACCGATGAAGGTCAAAGGTCAAAAAGCTACGCGAATTTGGGAACACCCGGCAGGTCCCAGCCCTTCGGGAGGCCTGGTCGAAGTACTAGGTGGGTGAACAGGAATGGCCGTAAGTTCGACCATCCCTAGCACCAGAGGCGGCTGAATGACTTGCCCAGATTTGGTCGATCCCAGGAGCCTCCAAAAGAATCTTTGGCACATGTGCGGAGGACACGTGGCGCATGAGGATTGGCCTATACTAATAACGGTTTTTGACACATTTCTGACGCTGAGGTAATGGAGTATACGATCGGGAAGCCAACTCAGTCAACTCGTGCAGTTTCTAGGGCAGGTATCTCACCCCTATATATAGGAGTGAAGCTCATATTTCTAGACCCAATATCTCATATTTTTACATTTTTCTCACTATCACATATATTCTTCTCAAGATTGACTTAAGCTTTTCACCGGAATATCCCTCCGGTAAGAGTTTCGTGCAAGTTTCGCCGTTCTACCGGCGAGGGGAACAAGATCGAGACGATTCTCAACTGATCGGAGTGTCACACTTGTATTAAAAAAAAAAAA